CTGCGCCATTGTCACCCATTTTTTAGCCATGCTACCAAGTATCCTCAATCACTGATACCTTCCGTCTCGAGGATCCAAGATGATAGGAATGAGTGGTTGAGGACTCTCTGTGACATGGCTGAAAATCGGTGACAACAGCGCAGATGTATTCGCTCTTTGACTTTCTCTAAAGATGGAATATCCGCACTAACTCTTCCACTAAGGTCCAACCTTAATTAACCGAAAAACGAGGGAAAAGTACTGAAAACGTTTATGTAGGAACAGACACGATACAGGTACATTACAAGAAGTTCAGAAAACCACGATCCAAAATTTAATGTGCACTTGGCATTAGGGAGGAAATATTCCGCAGCTCCATTTCATACAACGCTTGTGATGATAAATACACAAAGAGAAATAACTGCAACTTCCAACAAGTGTTTATGCTTACTATAAATGAATTTGTACATTTATTTCGCTCAAGACAACACAGTGAGCCAGTAACGAAGCCAGAAAATTCACCGTCACTTTTTTTATTTGCAGCAAACTCCCTGAGACAAGCAACGTGTCAATTAGTTCGCCTGGTTAACTAGTTCACTAGTTACTGGCCGGTCCTAAGCCCGGGTAAAGAGGGAAGGTTGGGCGCAGCACTGGCAACCCTACCCCGTAAAACCAATCCAACCGCTAAAGAAACTTCGAAGCACAAACAAAATATAAAAATAAAAGCAAATTTATTCCTCGCTGGAATCGGGGAAACGAAATGACGCCGGTTGGTGAAAGCCTTCGGGAAGTCACTTGGCCGATGTGTCTTCTCTCGATGAAAGCGAAAGTAAACGTGGGGGCATGGAATGCCCGTACCATGTTTGAACCTAGCAAGGCTGCCCAGATTGAGAAAGAAGTGAGAAGGTATAGAATAGAAGTCCTAGGAATCTGTGAAAGCAGATGGGACGCAAGTGGATTCTCCAACCTGTCAACTGGAGAGTCAATAATCCACTTCGATATTACCACGCAGACTACAACCACCAGCACAATGAGTTTGGGAGTGGCTATCATGATGTCCTCAAGAGCATCGAAGGCCCTCACGCAGTGGGAACCAATCTCCTCATGCAGGATCATGACAGCAGGATTCAACTCAAAAGGAAGGAAAGTCACAATCATACAATGCTACGCTATCCACCTAAAATAATGCAGATCAAGAGAAGGAGGAATTCTACAGACAACTGCAATCAGCACTGGACAAGAACTCAGTTGGCGACATCAAAATTCTAATGGGCGACATGAATGCCAGCCAAACTGGGAGCGGAAAACACAGGACGAGAACTAACCAAGGGGCGAGAAGCACTCGGTGAAATGAACGAGAATGGAGAATTGTTTGCAGGATTCTGTGCATTCAACGATTCGGTGATTGGAGGCAGTGTGTACAAGCACAAGGATATTCACAAAGCGACATGGATTCGATTTCACCAGATGGACACACTAAAATTCAGATCGACTTCATCTCAATCTGAAGAAAGTGGAGACGCAGCCTACTGGACACAAGGTCAAGAAGAGGAGCAGATGTAGGTTCAGACCACTATCTAGTGCAAGGAACCTTCCAAATCAAGTTGAAAGCCTTCAAGGAAACTGGTGATAGACCACAGTTCAAGTTCAACACCCTCAACAGAAACTGAAGAACAAAACTACAGAGGACATCTCCAGGTCAGCCATCAAGACAAAATGAGAGATATCGAGCAACATCCCTGAAGAAACCTGTGTGGATGAACACTGGAACTCTTTGAAAGCTATGTGGAAAGGAGCCTGCATAACCGTATTAGGAAGGAAGGAGAAAGAATATAAGGAATGGATCCCGACGGACACATGGAAGCTGATAGAGGAGAGGAGGATAGTGAAGCAGAAGATAAACCAGTGCAAGGATGAACAACGAGAAGTGGAACTGAGTACAACGCATAAAACAACACATTGGACAAAGAAGTGAAGAAGAGTGCGCGCAAAGACAAAAGACACTTCTACGACACACTGGCAAGTGAGGCGGAACAGGCTGCAGGTAGGAGAGACCTGACTATTGTATCGAATAACCAGGTTACTATCTGGGAGGGAAGAGATCAACACGGATGAAACTAATCAAAGGTGATGGAGGAAATTTAATTACCAAAGAAGAGAAACAAAGGAAACGATGGGCCGACCACTTCAAAAAGCTCTTGAATCGACCACCACCTGCACTTCGTCCACAAATACCACCTTCAGCCACAGAACTACCAGGGAACACAAATCCTCCAACAAAAGTCGAAGTCCTGAGCGCCATAAACTACTGAAATGCGGGAAACCAGCAGGACCAGATGAAGTCCCGCCAGAAGCACTGAGAGCAGACGCAGAGACAACAGCGGACATGCTCACACCACACCACTATTGCAGAGGGTCTGGAAGGAAGGGAAGGTACCTACAGATTGGAAGAAGGGCGACCTAAGTGTTTGCAAGAACTGGTGCGGAATCACGCTTCTGTCCACCCCAAGCAAAATATTAAGTCGAATCTTCCTGGAGAGACGAAAGCATGCGCTGGATTTAAAACTACGACCGGAACAGTCTGGCTGAATTCAGGAAGTACAAATCATGTGCGGATCAAATTGCGACGCTTCGCATCATCATAGAACAGAGTATAGAATGGCAGTCAACCCTCTACCTCAACTTCATCGACTTTGAAAGGCTTTTGACAGCGTCGACCGAGAAGTAATTTGGCAACTGCTTCAATACTATGGAATACCGCAAACCTTTATCAGCCTCATTCAACAACCATATGAAGACGCCACATGCCAAGTAATTCACAATGGAAAGCTCAGTGATGCTTTCGAAGTGAAGACAGGAGTGAAACAAGGTTGCCTACTATCACCCATGATATTCCTGATTGTAGTCGACTGGATCATGCAACAAACAGTGAGGAGCAAGAAAAGGGGCATACGCTGGACCGCGGAAAAGAACCTAGAATATTTGGATTTCGCCAACGATGACCTGTGTCTAATGTCACACAAACTTGAAGATCTACAGGCGAAAACTAACAAGTTGGCAGAAGAGGCAGGACAGCGAAGACGGGACTTCAAGTGAATATAGAGAAGACAAGTGATGAAGATACCGCACCACAACAACAACAACAAACACCAATCACCATCAATGGGAGAAACTTAAAGGAAGTAGCCTCCTTCACCTATCTAGGCAGCAGTTTCAACTACAGGCGGCACAGACGAGAACGTGAAAGTCAGGATCGGAAAAGCAAGACAGGCGTTCATTAGCCTGAAACCAGTGTGCAGATCTTCTGCACTCAGCATGTGGAACAAGATCCGGATTTTCAACACCAACATCAAGTCAGTGCTTCTGTATGGCTCAGAGACTTGGCGAGTCACGAAAGGGATTTCCAACAAACTAGAGACTTTCATCAACAACTGCCTACGCTCGTTACTGAAGGTCAGATGACCAGAAAGAATAAGCAACAAGGAACTCTGGCCTGGTGACTAACCAACCAAGAACCTATCACCCAACAAATATGCAGAAGGAAGTGGAGATGGATTGGGCATACACTGAGAAGGCTGACTGGGGACATCACGCGCCGGGTCAGGTACTCGGGTGGAACCCCCATGGGAAGCGACGAGTTGCGTGTCCGAGGTGAGGGTGACATGCAGGAGATCGTGCGAGGAGGAAATGAGAGCTTCTGGACTGTAGTGGAACCAGGTTCAAAAGATTTCAGAGAACAGAGTTAATTGGAGACGTGCTACTGAAGCCCTATGTTCCATTAGGAACCCAAGGGACAACTAATAATAATAATAATGGCTTCAAAACAACGGTACATTGTGGCGTGGTTGTAGTCAAGGGATTCTACATGCTGTGATCACTCCGTGAGGCCTTTAAACGCTCTTATGAAGAATTGTCTATGATGTATCTCAATAAAAGAGTAAAGCTTCAGCACTCTGGTAGATCGTAATTCCATTTTAGTCTGTTTAGAAAGCAGGAGAGAAAATTAGGACTATATAAACTTTGTCTCAAAGTTATAGAGTTACCTTATATGAATATGGACAATAAGTTATGTCCGAGACGTTCCCCAGTAAATGATACTGTTTCTCTGTGACATTTCTAGTAAATAGACTAATGGGATTATAATGTATCCTACTTATGTAAGACCTCATTTGAAACTCAAACTTACGTCATCCAGTGCCGCAGCCAGTGACGTAGCAACCACTTTTGGCTAGTTTTTTTACTCTTCACCTTTCATCTGACTACTTTGTTACTTGGTGCGGTGATATGAGGTGTGGCAACTTGGACCGTTACTCTAATGATTAGTCGTATGCTGATATTGACGAAGGCCTCGTGTAGAATAATCCATCAGTATATACTGCACACAGTTAGCTGGCCCTTGTTTTAAATAAGAAACACACACTTAGGACGGGTCCAAAGAGTGATTACTAAGTAGGTGACAGAACTTTTGCAACCACCCTATAAAAAGTGTTTGAAAAGTGGATCTTTTCTTATCATATGGTAGGAAGAGACCTTATATTAGCATGTCGTATCATAAATAATGAATTCACTTCGAATCTCTGATATTTTTACTTTTTTAGGACTGATCACCTAAGGCGTTACCATAAAAATGTTCAAAAGCCATAGTTGAATAAACTACACGTGGAACTCATGATCTAACAGAGTGGTCACCGACTGGAAATTACTACCGGAACTAGCAGTAGCTGCTCTTTCGGTGATCACTCTTAGACATTCACCGGGTTTTCATGTACATTTATGGTGCTAGGATTATTACATGCTACTCGATCCCTAAACCTGAAAACATAAGCTCATCGCGAACTTACAAACATCCCACTATGCCACCTGACAAATTTACGTTTAGACCATCAAGGTAAGCTTATTCAGCCACATGCAGGTAGATCCTTATCACTATGCAGGAGTCTCATGACATACCATAATTAATACATGAGAATTAAATTCGTCACGCATGAAAACAATGAAAGTGGGAAGACAATATTACTTACAAAGTCCTCCGGTCGCCTATCAAAATAATTTCCGTATATGCAGTGTTCAATGAGAGAAGTTTTGCCAGACCCAATTGGTCCAAAGACCACCAATTTAGTGATTTTACCCATCCTTTAGGTAAATTAAGCACACAACGCTACACAAGGTTATCTAGTGTCCAATAGTCCAATCAAACATCCAAAACCAATAGTGAGAGTGTATTAAGCTGGTAGCTTTTGAGCTGCTGAGTCTAACCACAGAGTCTCAGTCCCTTTGCTTGATTTCATTGTTGTGGTGGACAGGGGAAACTCCGCTAATTTCCTGTTTTTCGCTCTGGTCAAAAATCCAATATATTTTTACGAGCTTGTATTTTTACGAGCCAGTTGATTTCTTCGCTCCTATTTGTAGGCCTTAGGAAAAGGTTTCGGACGAAAAAGTGGATTCTGGCATGGAAATTCCACCCACTCTTCTGTTGCAACTACGGCACACCCACATGGTGGTTTGGTGTTGGTTAAATTTGTCGAAAGGTGTATCGTTTGTCCTGGGACTGTGGTACAGTTGAGTTCATCAGACATTATGCCATTAAACAGTTGTCTTGATGGGTCATGAAGGGGGAGTAAGAAGGATGAAGGATAACCACGAAAAACAAAGGAGAGGAGTTAAGAAAAATACGGGAGAACTGAGTCGAAAGGTAAGGATAAACCCAGTTGAGCTCAGAGATGGGGAAAAAATAATGAAGAGCGTTAATAAACGGGGTGAAACCGTATGGAGTCAGAGTGAGATAAAGAGCATGAAACACTGAGCAGGGATTACGGAAACAGAAACACTGATATTAGCAGTGGCATTGTTAATTGGGAGGTAAGACGCTCTACCTTCCAATACCCAATATCTTTTAACTGCCTAGTGTAAGTCAATTGATTTCTTCGCGCTCGCTTCTAGGTCTTGCTGAACCGTTCCAGGTCTTTGGTGGATTGCAATGCAGCAGATCTACCCACTCGACTGCTGTAGCTCTGGTTAGCCCGACGGGCGGTTGGGTGTTGGTCAAAATTGCAGGGAGTGACGGTTGTTTGTCTTTTTTCTTCCGAGGACTGTGGTGCAGATGGGTTCCTCAAGTGTCGTGCCAGCAGACAACTGGTCGGACTGGTTGTAAAAAGGGGTGAAAAATACGTGCAGAGAAATCAGTGGAGAGAAGGTGAAGAGAAAGACAAATAGAAAAAGAAAAGGAAAAAAGAAAGAAAAAAATTAGGAAGAAGGAAACGGCACGGAAGAAGAGGCGTTGGTAGGTTCATGGGAAACAGGTGATAGGGAGAGCTTTCGTTAAGGTTTGAGAATGTAAAGTCAGGAGGAAGAAAAATAAATAACATGGTAGGACGAATGAGAATATAGTAATTTTTTGGTAGGAGACGGTAACTGGAGGGGACGTCTATTGGGAGGTATTAGGTTCAGCCAAGTTCCCAGTGATAGTGGCTTTACAGTGTTCAGTAACGGTCGGTTGTGCCGAGTTAGTAGGTCATGTCAGCCTAGTCCGCATTCCAGTTGGATGAATGCAAACCGTGCGTTGCTGCGCAACTGTCCAACTTCCTCTTGAAGCTGTCAACAGATGGAACAGTAGCAATGTCGGCGGGCAATGCGTTCCAGTGGCTGCAAACTCGCAGAGAGAAGAAGTGTGATCGCACACGGGTTTTCGCCCTTTGGTGGGCGACTCTCCTTGGGTTACCACGAGGATCGCCATAGCGGCCGTTCGGTAGTATTGCGCCGAAGTGGTGCTGAAAGGAATCTGGAAGCTCTGTCAGTTCAATGTTCGTAGGTCGCTCACTTTTAAACGCTGCCACTCCACCTCCTTCCTTGTGCTCTCTATCTCTTCTGAATATTCTCTAATATCTGAAGACAACTGGGTCTTTGTCAGGATTATGGTTTTGGCAGCAAGGTAGGAAGCGAGGGGTCGAAGCTTTAACGCATTTCTTCTGAGACTCCCTTTCCGTTAATACAAATGGAGGTGCTTCACACTAAGCGGTGTGTCTTAGTGGTGAAGGACTGCAAATGGGGTATGTGTGTAAGGGATAAATCTGTTGCTCTCCGGTCAGTTCGAATAGAATCTGCTCAGTCAGTTATTTTCCCGCAGTAGTTTTTGTAGTCATAACTGAATCACTTTTGTCATTCTGAACGGCGTCATGTCTATGCATAGTAATGCCAACCTGAGCGCGAACAGGAACTGACGTTTGCTGTTCTGGGTCTGCTTTCACAATGGCTAACATTCCCGTTGATAGTGTCCATAACTGTGTACTTCGTCTTTAATACCATGATTAGGAGTTTGGAAGTCCGAAGTCAATTGATGGAGCGATGGCTGGCTCACCAGGCAGTATTTGCCAGCAACGCACGCTTGTTTTCATCTTTCTATGGTAAATTACCTTTGAGTTTCCGTATGGATTGCCGCAGAGACCGTTCGACAGAATTCCATTATTTAGAATCTTGTAAACGGCTACCAGTTCACCACACAGCCTTCCATAAATAGGACAGTAATTACCAGATTCTCCAGTCTATCCTTATGCAGCCTTTTGGGCACTCCTACGACACTTCCTATGACTCACCCCTAGACTTTACCAGGAGTTTTACATCTCTTTCTAAGCATGTTGGCCCAGTGGCGTTGCAGGCCTCTAAATGAGGTCACGTCCAGGTCTTGTATGCATCAGAAAGAGTTCTGGGTTGAGGGCATCTAGATGTCCCTTCCCTTGAGTGTAGTGGTGAGTAGGCCCTGGACGCACCTCCTACTCTGTATTTCTAAGCCTTAACCTCGTCCTCAATTAATATCTCGATCCAGTAAAGTGGTCACTATCGCCTCACAAATTGGCGACGAGAAAGAAAACCACGCACCAGAGAATAATGTTATGTACGAATATTCACCATAACGTTCGATATAGCACACGTTGGACCTTCGATGGTTACCACATTATGTGGTGGGAAGGAGATGTTGACTAAGCCTTTCTGCGTTTTTGTCGTGGTGCCTGTGCAAGCAACCAAGCAGAGGAAAAACACGATGACTGAACCGGTGAATGCTGCACTTTGCGATAAAATTTGGGGCTGGATGTAGTCATGTCCGCTGGGTACGTCATTATTTTTTGTATTGCCGAAAGAAATTAAGGTCCCTGAGCCTCCTCGCATGCTTCGGAATAACTAGGGGAGAATCAAAATATCATTTCGAAGCCATTTAGCACGTTTTCAGCCACCAAGATTCTGACGTGGGCGTGAATCTCATGAGACTGAGAGTTCAACAGGCGTCGAACTATACTGTTATCCATTTAACTCACTCCCTGTAATGATAAGTTTCACGCCCCTTACTTCACCATGGCCTCCTTCCTTAGGGTGGTTGAAATCATCCTAACCCGTTTGTTTAGTCAATTTGAGGGAGGATAAGGCACTTGAGACTCTCTTTGGCATCGGACAAGCGATAACATGTTAGTCATGAACCCAATATCCGGATGAGCTGTGACATCATGGGGAGTGTGTGGAGTGACAGTTATGTACAGGATATCTTCTGAAACCTTGACAGACCCATTTTACTCTACACAGCCAACACGTACAAGGTCAAGGTGACATATTTCGTCACTTCGACAGGTCGGGAATGACAAGTGTCACCTTAGAGAGGTGGAAGACTTTCGAATATATGTGATCCACATAGCGATCCCGGCTGGAACAGTCGGTCACTGCAGCTCAGAAATGTCCGTTTCATAATGATAAGGACAACCTTCCTGGGGGTACCGGGACGGAGTGGCACTGTTACCTTCCATGATGTGAGGTGAGAAAGGTGTTTCTAGAGGATATCTGACATCTCGAGCTGAGGGCCTTTTCTTTCATCGTAGGTGAGATTCTTTGGGTCTAGCAAACACCCTGAAGCGGCTTTGTGGGTCTAACCCCAATTGCGGAAAAAAAAATTTGTGCCCCTTCAAAGCTGGGCGTAACTAACCCCAAGCTCATGTATGTGTCCCTGTGACCAAGTGAAGCTAATCCATATTCGAGTAGTAAAAGATGGTGGATGGAGTAGAATCCGCAACAGGTATTTCGTATCCTTTTGGAATCATTGGTTGGGTCCGCCTACCTCTTAGACAGTGCTGTTGCAGCCGAGACTTTAATCCAAAACGACAGAGTAGTCATATTTCAATGCCGGCGGGTAAATTTGGTCTAAAGAGCAGGGGGAAATTGCAAACCACATCGCCAACCCTCTTTACCTTTTTGAAACTTCACAGAAGTATCGATGTTATCATTACTATTTGGCCTTTGGGTTCCTGGCGGAACATAGGGCTTCAGTAGCACACTTCCATTGTACCCTCTTCTCTGCAGTCTTCAGAACCTGGCTCCAAGACTGCCCACAAGCTTTCATTTCTTCCTCACATGATCCCCTCCATGCCACCCTCGGACTCCCGAATCGTCATTTCCCCTTCGGATTCCACTCGAGGGCCTGGCCTGATGCAGGATGTCTCCGAATGTCTCCAATCCGTCTCCACTTCATTCTGCGTATTTGTTGGGTCACAGGTTCTTGGTTGGTTCGTTACCCGCCAGAGTTCCTTGCTGCTTATACTTCGTGGCCATTTGATCTTCGACAACGCCCTCGGGTAGCTGCTGATGAATTTCCGTAGTCTGTTGGAAATGCTTTTCGTAACGTACCAAGTTTCTGAACCGTCACGTAGAAGCACTGACTTGACCGACTTAGTGTCGAAAATCCGGATCTCGTTTTTTCTGCCGAGCACAGTAGACCTCCATACTGTTTTCAGGTTATTGACGGCCCTCCTTGATCTTCCGATCCTGGCTTCGACATCCTCAACTATGCAGCCGCTTATAGTTGGACGATGCTGCCTAAGTGGTAGGTGAAGGAGGCTAGTTCCTTTGGGTTTCTCACGTTAATGGTTATTAATGCTTGCGTTTCTTGTCATTGGTTGGGTATCTTTATCACCTCTGTTCACTCTACATTCACTTGAAGTCCCATCTTAGTCGCCAAACCGCCTCTGTCAACCTGCTGGTTTTTGTCCACAAATCTTCAAGCTTCTGCGACATTAGACATAAATCATCACCAGTGGTGAAATCCAAATCAAGCAGGCTCTTTTCATCGGTCAAACAGCGTATACCCGCCTTCTCGCCCCCCACGGTTTGCTGCATGATCCAGTCCACCACAATCA